GGCTACATCAATATATGGTATCTTAGTTATTCATGATTTAGTAGAGTTGAAAAAATTTGTGCACCAAACTCATAACGCACATTTTTCGATATTTACAGTTAAGATTAGAATTAAATTGTTCAACAATGAATCTTGTCCATTTGTAGCAACTAATGATTGTTGAAATATTTCCTATGTTTGACTCAACTTTTCTTTCTTTCCCATAATGTATACATATGATCAAACATAACAAGAAAGTCTTGCTTCACAACATCACCCTACACCTCCATTGAAAAATACACATTCCATTTTAAAAAATGACATATTTTCTACAACACAATATGAGGAAGTAACTATCCATTGACAAAACTATGAAAGGGCACTTACTTATAGATCAATGGATGATAAGGGCAAGATCCCTAGTCATTTTTCCAGATTCAACGATATAAATACAACTCACTTCAAGTTTTTTGGTGAACTACAAGAATTTTGCATTGTCGTCCAGCTTTGCCTAAAAATTCATGGCTTGTAATTATTTACTCGTTAAATTTCATTTCAAGGAACTCATTCAATTACCTGTGGGTTAGACCCCGAGTCCAAGCAAAGATCAAGGCAATGCTATTTGTGCTTGCTTCACCTCCTTTTTAAGACCTATAGTGGTTCGTGGCTGCTTTGCCTCAATGGTCTTTGAGAAAATTACAAGTGCATGTTTGGTCACATATATTAAATCGTACTGAACATATGGTCGGCTCGAAAATTAATCCTCTAATACCCATAAGGCCGTAACAGTATTGGTGTTATATGGGTCAAGTAGACCCAAATTGCTCAGTTTGGCTCATCCACTATCGAGTTCAACTTAGTCCACCACGCGAGCCAACTTGCATTCCTATATGGGGCTAGTCGAGTCCCCTTAGCTCATTTCTAAAAACTCAATTCGATTCATCCCACCAACTCGCTCCTTTGTGGGGAGTTGAGATGGCTAACGAGCTACTCGCGATTAAAAAAAACGAAAATTACCTTTCACTCCCGACATATAATGAGAATGTAAATTTCTGTGGAAATAATGTGTGTAAAAAATTCTATTTTGCCAAAAGAATTGTAAAGTTGTAAAAATTTTCATCCTTTATCTGGACTTAAGGCCGACTACAATATGTAGACAAAGTTAAGATTGTACACGAAAGAATACTTCGTGTACATTTTTTAAAAAAATAAAATGGTACAAATAAAATAAATAAAATACCTCCTTAATCCGAATTTGAGATCGATTATATTAGGCATATATACATAGAAGTACATTAAAGTTTTCATTCCAATTAAAACGAGCTCCTTCACCTTAAAATTAAAACTTCGTAGACTAATTTCTCATTCAAAATTATGGTGAAGAACAAATCTTTCCTGGGATAAAAGAGTCATTTTAAATATCACGAGTGAAAATTTCGAACTGCAAAGTATTCATAAATAAAAATTTAAATTTTATATTCAATAAAATAATATAAATAAGTTGTGATGGAACATCAAATCATCGTCGGAAGATGCAAAGGCACCAATAAATCACAAGCTCGTTTTAAGAAAAATGTAAATTTTCCTCGCAGGCCAACGAACATTTCGGACAAGAAAAGTATAGATTGGCTCGTGCCCACGAACACGTTGAAGGCGAATTGAGTCGACGAGAGACTCGCCCCACTTAACATCCCTAATAAGTACACCAATAAGGCAAAAGTTGAAAAACAGAAATTTCTAAGATCATACAAGAAAGTGACACCTAAACCAACCACAACAACTATGAACTCAATGCTATGCTATGTATCTAAGGCAATGTATAGCACACATGATTAACAAACTATGGAAGTTGTCAACCTCTAATCCAAAAATTAACAACTGCTGATCAAGATCTATAAGTATAAATTTGAGTCGGGAAAATCCATACGGTAAAAGAAGTTATATCTATGTCGAGTCTATAATCATGTTATCATAGTATTATCCAAAACAAGTACAGCTTCAAATATATACAGTAATTTCCTAGTATATCGAACTCCCAAATAACTAACTCGATTAAATGAACAGATCCTATACTTGTTCAAAAGTCATGTATTTCAGTCATTGACTGTACAAAAAATGAAGCCATTGTCGTATTTGAAAGTCTAAATTAAATACACGCCCATAATAAGATCAAACCGATCATCTACAATCCTTTACTCCGAGGTGAACTCTTTCTATCTACATGGATTGTATGATGGTCTTAGGCAGTACACTGCGACAAGCAATTCCATCACGCTACTGCGAGAGAGAGAGAGAGAGAGAGAGAGAGAGAGAGAGAGAGTTAAGATTAGGAGCTTGCACACGTCATTTCATTATGAATTGTGTGTCAAAGAAGAGTGCAGAAATTGAAGTAAAAATGTATTTGCTGTATATACTAATTTCGAATCCTAAAAGATTACATACTAACCACTGTCATAAACTAAATCAAGATAAGAGGGGCTTCTCCACATCGTACTCACTTTCCATGGAATTGTCATCACCAATGTGAAAATGTTCCTTCCCTTTAGCCCAAAGCACCAAATAGAGACCTATGAACATGAGGCACATACCTGCAAGGCTGTAAACCAAAAAAAAAAAATTTGTATTTTATCGACTTTAACACATAACTTTCATCTTGTTTTGCTCCCCGAGTCATATAACATATATTTGAGCAAGGGGATTTGTGCTACCTTTCTACTCTAATGGAATCTCCTAAGGTGATGTAAGAGAGAACAACTGTAATTACAGTTCCGAGGGGATTAAATATAGACACCATGACTGGTCCTCTTCTTTTCATTGCCCATGCATTGAAGCTTAAGCACAATCCACTTACACTACCTGCCTGTTTCAGTAAGTTGGTCAAGAAATCATGATATGTGCAACAAAATAACTAATCACGAGCATTATTATCCATGCGCATGTATTGAGCAATGATTGTATTGATAAAGAATTCACAGTATCGGTTGATCTAAGTCGCAAAAACAATAATGAACAGAAAACAAATTCATTACCAGTATGGAGTAGGCAATTAGCTGTCTAATACTTAATAAAGGCCATCCTGTTTTCCATCCATCGTCTTCAATCAACCCGATCAATCCAGTCATTACCACGCCTATTAGAGATGTTATTGCACACAAAGAGATTGGGGCTGGAAAATCACGTAATGTTGTAGCCTGCAATATGTAAACTAAAATTTTTAAAAAGGGAAAGCGAAAACAAATAATATATTGATACACTTTTTCACAGTATCGTCCACTCTATAATTAGGATCTACCTGTAGCACAATCTGACTTGACAAAACAAATACTGCTGCCATGAGATACAAGCAGCCAACAATCGTTTGATTGTCAAATTTGTCATCAGATGGTGGAGAAGTTAACGAGGCTTGGGAATCTTTTGCTGAGTGAACTTGTACGGAACTTTGCATAAGGCTCATTACAACAGCACCAATAACGCACAATAAAGTTCCCATAATTTTTACTCTGCTGTACCTACATCCTAACTCTACTTTCTCTAACCTGCATAACAATTGTAGCTTCACAGTTAAATAAAGAAGATGAAACGAATTCTGATTCTTTGATTTCAAATATCCAGTTACTATCTTTTCCCAAACTAGGAACGATAGAGAATAGAAACCTGAAACCCCAGGCAATAAAAAAGATTAGTCCTGGTGCAAGGTTCGGCATAGCTGTTGCCATTGCTGGTGAAGTGAGACTAACACCCCTCATAAACAAAGACTGAAACACAGTCACCCTGAAAAATAAAATATAAAATTTTTAAAAGTGCGTTCTTTAAGCACTTATACTCATACATATGCATCGACAAAGAATTACAGATCAAGAAACAGAGAAGATGTTTCATTCAGTGTACTTTGAAGTAGTATTTATCCTAAAATTAATAAAAGGAATATGTACGTAACTTCATCACATATGGAGAAAATTCAAAGACGTTCAAGTGTTATTGTGTGTCGCATAAAAGCTAAAAACAATATGTTATCTCAATGATCTTGTGGTAGTGAGATTACTTCTAATATTCCATTTCAAGCACAACAAATAGTAAATATTTTATGGCTTTATTAACTTATTTTGACTTGAAAGTTTATGCAAGATAAAAATTCTCAAACGGAAATCTCGAGGAAGATATCTTATGCTACAGCCTCAAGAAGCACTGAGGATAGTCACTTCATTTACAAACTTCAAGAAATCCTTAAATGGGCTTCAAACTAGTCTATCTTTGAGTTGATAACAATGTTACTATGGACTTTGATCTTGGCATTTTACTTGCAAGTCATGATTGAATATCTATATTGAAAATGATTTAACAACATATGAGAAATGTTTGAAAAAAACAAAAAAAAACAACTTATTTAGGCTTAATAAATGATTGGAAGAGGATTAGAAATAGGTCTGGTTTGTAGAGTTTTAGAATACAATGAGATGAGGTCGAGTGGACAAGAAAAAGAAGCTAAAATCTTGTGTATCATATTATCTTGGCAAGTTCAGTACTACGTACCAAATATACTTTTAAAGAGCTTTCTCATTAGTAGAAGCTTGTTCATTTTATAATTAAGCCATTAAGGATATATTACGATAATTCCACCATAGCATTCTTTTACGAAATTCACACTAGCAATAGAGAAAAATTTTAAGATTAACATACATTTATGTAAGCAAAGAACTTCAATTTAAAAAAAAAAAAAAATCAATCTAAATATATAAAACAAAAATGTTTACATACCCTCCAAAAGAAAGCAAAAGCAGCTTAATCCACACCTTGTAACTAATATGTTTTGGCCATTGACTCCTGCAAGCAAAAAAATATAGTAATAATAATAATAATCAATTTTTTTAATTTTTTCTCTCAAATTACAAATTAATGTAAAGAAGAAATTAGAAACTCGCCTTTCGAATAAAATTGAGATGGGAGAAAGTATCAAAAATGTAGCAAATGTAGAAAATATGATAAGAGATGAAGGCTGAAACCCTAATTTCAACAAATAACTAAGCAAAATCGAATTCCCAGAATATAAAAACTGGATCAATGTCAACCCAGTAATTATTGCAACATTTTCAATAAATTCCGTCTTCGGATTTTGTATCATTTTTCCTGTGGAAAGATGAAAAATCCCTCTCTCGCCCTTCTCGATTCTCTGCCTATTCATGCATATGCATATAAATTTTGTTTTTCAGAGGGCTGGTTGTTGATAAAAAAATAATCTGATAATAATCAACCAACATTCAACCCCACCTACCAGTCTCCCAATTAAGAGGTGAATGAATGTATGGTTAAGTTTCTGAAAAATCTGGTTTTTTTTTTTTTTTTTCCTTTGAATGAGAAAAAAAATTTCTTGAATTTTTAGTTTTTTAGTTTGTGCAATGTTCATGTTGAAATGTTCGAAAAACAATGAGGAATTTCTGTTAGGAAATGGAAGGCCAAAGTAGTTTTGGAGAGAATCCCTCACTGCCAATATTTTTGGAACCCGCCTGTTAAATAGTTTTTTTTTTTTTTTTCTTCGAGTCAGATTCGTTCATTATCCACGACTAAAATTGATTATTAACATCGTATCTTTCACCTAGAGATAATAAAATTATCAATCTAGGATGGAAACGGAAATATGATCCTCAACTCGACTATTATTTTTTATTTTTGACATTTTAGATTTTAAACCGTATTAAAAAAAAAAAATCAGCAGTGCAATTAACACGGGAATTTTTTTTTAATCATCAACCCCGGCCGACTCGGAAGATCGCCAATTTGACTGAGATGAGGAGGTTGTCCGGACCATGCTCTGCTTTGTTACCATCTCTGTCCTACATAATCTATACGTTAGACTTTGTTTATTTTCTTCTCACCCCATCGAGAATTTTCGTGAGAAGAGGAGGGGACTAAAATACCTCATTTACCATCTCGTTTAATTATTTATTTAGTTTTTAACATTATTTCATTTTTTAAATTGAAAATCATAAAAATAATATATGATAAATGATTCAGGGTATGGACAGAAAATTTTGTCATCTCTAAATTTTATATTTTAACACTTTTACGAGACTAGGGGTAATTTTGAAAATGTATTTAATTGTAAAAATTGGCATTTTATTTTTGCTATAAGGACCTTGTTCTTTTAAGTTCAAATTGTGGTCCCCAACATTTCGTCTCCTTAGCTAAAACCAATTAAAAGATTACACCCCCACTAAATATATGCACATCACCAAATGGTAACTTAGGTTAGCTAACCGTAGAAATGTCTTATATGTCCTCAAATGGTAACTTCGTGTCGTGTCAATTCAAATTTGCAAAAGCAACCACATAATTGAAGTTTTCAGAGCCGTTGTGACCATGAAGACAACGAACTGCCGAACTGGGAAAGATGAGTAGTTTGGGGC